CAATCTCTTTTTTGACCTAATACATTTTGAAGTTGTATTTTATTGTTTAATTTTATGAAGTTAGGGCAAAGAATTTCTAATTTTATATAAAATGTCTCTCTAATGTCCTCATAATTGGAACAGCTGGTAAGAAAGCTCTCTCTCTCTCTGTTTAATTGATGCTCTCTCCGCTTTAATAATTGTATTATCCGTCCACCCCAATCCACCTCTTTTTCAGATGGAAATGAAAATATACGTGGAGAAACGGTCCGGCCTTTCTAGTTGATTCCCTTCGGACGCCGAGAGCGGCAAATGTGATTCACCTGCAATGACATTAAAATAGATCAGCCGGTATTAAAGATACGCCGTCGATACTGTTCATAAATCAATATGGTGTTCCCGGCGCGGGGAAAGAGCGGGAGACCGATTAATCCATCCTGAAGACTGTTTGTTCTGTCGCTTATTGCATCCGACGTGAAATATTACAAAACCAGCCATTTTCTCCTGTTATAATGGTCGACGTTAAACTGATGGCAATATCTTTTCAGTAATATTATCGTGTCTGTAAGCAGTGAGCGGCCGACTGACACACACTGACAGATGACGATAATAATGCAGCTGTGTTAAATAAAACATCTACCAATAAAAACATCATTCAAAATTAAAGTTCACTCAACATTTGCTCATGTGCAATCACTGAACCAGAATGTGTTTTATTCGCAGCTTAAACTCGGATTTGATCAGAACTTACATTATTATTTATAGAATTATTATTATAATTATTATTATATTATACATAGAATTATTTAAAAAAATATATTTTGGAATAAAAAACTATGAAGTAATAATTCATTCTGGAATTTAACGACAACAAAATAATGGAATTGTAATATATTATATTATAATGTTATTTTAAATTATTATAAATGTATTTTAATGGGATTTAATGGTATAAATAAGAATTATAAAAATAAACATTCTAGAATAAAAACCTATAAAGTAATTATTTATTCTGGAATTCATTAACCAAAAAATAATATAATTGTATTATAATGAATAATTATATATTATATAATGTTAATCATAGTATAATATTACATTATTTCACAACATAAATATATATTTTAATGGATTCTGGTATAAATAACTGTTTTACTTCATTAAACATTACATTTATATTTTAAAACAATATAGTTAAATGATAATAGTATTAATAAAAAAGTATGAAACGTTATGATGTAAGAGTTTATAATATAAAAAATATATATTTGTTTGTTTTTTATTCTAAGAGGTTTATAAAATGCTAATTTTTTCTTCTTTATTATTTATATTACTTTATTAGTATTTGTCAACCATGTGTGCAGTTTGTGTGTGTATGCTTTAGTGATGTGTGTGTGTGGTTTGTGTTGTGCGTCTGCTGTGTTCCTCATCACAGTTTGATTTGGTTTCACCTTGAATGCAGCACCGCGGTATTGATTCAGCTGCACACACACACACACACACACACACACACACACACACACACACACACACACACACACACACACACACACAGATCGACGCCGGCAGCCATGTTAGGTACCTGCAGATGGAAAGGCCGTTTCAATATTTGGCCTCGAAATACTGTGACACCAAATAGTATTTTTAGTAACATTTAAATGTCACTGTTATTACATGTAAAATATATAAGCAAGTGTAATTTATTTTAAAGAAAGATGCAAAACACACTTTAGCTAAATATAGTGAGTTTGTAAGTTTGAAATGCACTTGTGGTTCATTGACTAAAGCCAGCTGATTCAAACACACCGAGGCTTCAAACATGATGGTGTGTGTGTGTGTGTCTGTGTGTGTGTGCGTATTCCATACACTGCTGACTGTAATATTAATAGCAGCTGTCTTCATATAGACACACACACACACACATACAGGTGTTGTGCTGCTCCTCTGAGGATTATCAATATTTCAGTGTTTGTTTTGTTGTCATAGCTTTGATTTTATCTTTAATATTGCAGGTAAGAAGCGCTCATATACTGATTAAACAAAGATGATCGTATCACATCAGATGTCATACACACAACCTGAAGTGTGTGTGTGTGTGTGTGTGTGTGTGTGTGTGTGTGTGTGTGTGTGTGTGTGTGTGTTTCCTGGTAAGATTTTCTCTAATAACTAAAGCATGGAAATGCTCTTAGAGTGTGTGTGAGAGTTATTTCTCTTGGCAGTGAAACTATGAGTCCAGTTTATCGTCACATATTTCTGTTGCCACGTTTCATTTGCTTTGATGACGGTGAGATCGACACTTGCTGCAACACTCCTCGACTGCATTATATGATCACAAACACAATAAATACACCAGTAAATAGGGATGGATGATACATTTAAAGTTTTAAATTATAATAAAAAAAAAAATAAAGTTAAATGAGTTGAATAGAGAACGACGTCTCGCTAAATGTGACTCGTTCATGTTGTAAGTGTGTCCGTGAATGTCTGCGTTTATGATCCTGATGTGGACATTTTGAGAGATGCTGGTTTGATCCTGAGTGCTCAGAGGTCGGAGGTCAGCTGAGAGCCAATAGAAAGAGGCCGAGGTCAAATCGAATCAGTCGAGATGTCATTAACAGAGCCAATCAGGTTAGACCTTTTAGTGTGAGGCAGAAAAAAATGTAATAATACGATTTTGTTTTGTTTTTTAAACGAGTAGTAATCAAAACTTAGTTCTGTGGTTTGTTTATATATAAAATTAATTAAAAACTTGATTGTAAATTTATTATTATATTAACTTGTATATTTTTTGTGGTTGTCTTTTGTCTGAGTACTATTTTATTATTATTATTATTTACTACTCATTTGTTTAAGATATGACATTTAGTAAATACAAAAGTAACTGACCAAATATTTTTTTCCAGCACATTTTCATAAAATGTTTTTTATATATATATATATATATATATTTGATATTATTTTAGTCAACGTTTACTTCATTTCAAGTTCTGGAAAAGCTTTATAGTTTAAATTAACCATAATAATAACCCTGGATCTCATTCAGAGTGTTGATATATTCATATTCTGAATATTCATTCATATTATAGTCATATTCCTGGGAACAAAAGCCTCCAGAAGTGAATTATATCTGATAAAACCTCAGTTTTTTTAAAGAAGTAAATCACGTTTCTTTTGGTGTTTGAGTTGGTCTGTAGTTCCTGCATATATTTATCTTTACTGAATATAAAAACAGAAGTGTTTCTCATTAGAGAGTGAGATAAACGTGTGTGATTCCCATCCGACATCGAGTTTCTTGAGTTTCAGCTGCAGTTCAATCGGAGGTCTGTAGGTTTGTGAACCTGAAACAACATGAAACATCAACCTGTGTGTGTGTGTGTGTGCGGCCAATGCTTTACCTTGTTGTATGGATCTGTCCATATCTCTCTCTCTCCCACTCACACACACACACTTTCATTGGTGTCTTTGTTTAGCGCAGTAAATCCACACACACATCTGAACTCAAAGAAATGGCAAAGAGCAAATGAGAATGAAACAATGATCCATCCTAGCAGTTTGTGTGTTTTCATCAATGAACCGCTCTACATCGTCATGCGTGTCTGTATTGTGGCCTCAGACGTGCACGTGTGTGTGTGTGTGTGTGTGTGTGTGTCTGTGACTAATTGCACGTCCCGTGTTTGAGGGGCTCCTGCGGTACACACACGTTTGGTAACAAAAGAAGCCCCATCCGACCGCACCCACACTTCCGCAAGCAAAGACCCCTCCGGGTCTCTTAATGACTGAGTGTGTGTGTGTCCTGAGCACGTGTCCCTCCAGCACAAGGCCCTGACCATGACCCTAAAACACACACACACACACACACAATTGTGCCCCATTCAGAGCCCTTACAGGACGCTGGAGCACAAAGCCGAAGCTGCAGCTTTGGTTCAGGGCGTTTATATGCAGGTGTCCCTCTGGAAACTCACATATTCACAATGAACTCAGACCACAACACAACATGTGAAATATTAATTTCCTGAAAAATTATTTGTTATATTTATATATATTTAATTTTATAATTTTCAAGGATTGACTTAAATTAAGTAAAAAAAATGCTTATATGGATTTATTTTTATTTCCTGGGATTTAATTTTTCATTTAATTTTACTAATTTCTTTAATATTTACTTGCATGTATAAGAATTACAGCTTATTATTTTACATTAATATTTACTTAAATTGATGAGTAAATTTACTTAAATGGATTTTTTTATTTAGATTTCCTGAAATGGAGGTTATTTTATCTTATTTTTTTGTTTTTAATGATTTACTTATATTTAGAATTTTTTAAAAAGATTTATGTAATTTTGCTTTATTTTATAATTTTACTTTTATAAGAATTTACATTTATTTTGATTTACTTGATTTCTATTTAAAAACATTTTTTAATTTATTTTAGTATCTCTGTACATGATTTGGCCCTGAACACTCTCAGAAGAACGGCACTGCATCTTTATGCAGTTTTATGTTGTCTTAAAGGTGCAGTGTGTAATTTTCAGCGGTATCTAGTGGTGAGGTTGTGAATTGCACCCAACAGAAGTTACGGTGGCCGACAGGAAGTGATGTCGTCGTCTGAGACAGCAGAGAGTAGCCAGTTAAGCTATGAGGTTTCTTTACAAAGATAAATGAAGAAATTAGGTTTACTTAATTATTCAGTAAAACGATATGTTATTGTGAATATTATTGTTACTTGTTCATCATTGTGTCAGTGTTTTATTCGCTGACTTTAGCAGCTTCCTTGCACGAAGAACAACATATTGATGAAACGCGTTTGTCCGTTTAGGGCCACCGTAGAAACATGTCGATGTGTGTGTGTAGATAGAAATGGCTCATTCTAAGCTAATAAAAGCATAATGGTTCATTATGTAAGGTCTTTATACACCACTGAAAACATAGTTATGTATATGATATTGCATTTCTGTCAACAGATCCTCCAAAATATTACACAATGCACCTTTAAGTGAATCTTTCTGTGTGTGTGTGCAGGTTGTCTGTCTAACCTCCCGCCGAGCGCTAAGAGGATCAGTAACTCGTACGAGGAGCGCAGGAAACAGGCGACGGCTATCGTCCTGCTCGGCGTCATCGGGGCCGAGTTCGGCGCGGAGATCGAACCCCCCAAACTCCCGTCGCGAGCCCGGACCAGCAGTCAAGCTCCCGAGGGCTTCGGTCTGAGCAGCGGAGGATCCAACTATTCACTCGCCCGTCACACCT